GGGGGGGGGGGGGAGAGAAGAGACAAATACCGCCCCGCCGCTATTGCCATTGTTGCCATTACTGGTGGAACTGGCCTTAGCCGAATCGAGCTCTGCATCACGCCGCTTCTTGGAACCGCCATGGCCATGACCTACTACTCTCTGACTCACTGGATCACCGCGCGAAACTTCTGGATTCTCCATGGAAATCTCTCCAAACTGCCCCAAATTATGAGCAAACTGAGCCATTCTCAATCCAAGCCCACCTCCAGATTCCTCAACGCCAGTTCCGCCATTAATTGGGAACTGCCACATCTCGGAGAGATTGTACGCCGTCGCATTCGCATTGGCATTAGCGTCATTAGGAAATGACCCTTGGTTCATCAGAGTAGGTGGATCCATCTCATTTCCCAAAGATTTCTGGGGATTCAAGTTTGAATTAGCAGAAGAAAACCCATATTATATTAGCCGGAATGAGAGAAAAGCCAGAAGCAGAAGCTCTCAAACTCAGCTGATTCAAAAACCCCTCCAGTTCCTGAGAGATGTGAGTTGAAAGAACCAGGAGGAGAAGGAGAGATGTGCAGTTTAAGTAGGTTCAGAGAGAAGACGAGTGAAAGGTAGTGTTCATGATTGCGAAAGAGAGAGAAAAAAAGTGTGTTCTGATCTGAGACTGATTGCAAGTTGGTTAGCATTAGTAATCAAATAACCTCTCCCATTCATTCCGTCAAAACTTGGGTTAATTTTAATTTTTGTCTTAATATAAATTGTTTTCATTAGAATATAGTAAAAAATATAAAAATGGCTTAAAATAATTTTTTCTGGAAAAAAAAATACGTTTTACGTGTTTAAATAAGAAAAGTTGAAATTTAAAAATATAAAAATAAAAATAATTTAAAACAATGAAATATAAAAACAATTTATTCTAACCTAACACTGGAAATTTAGATATGAATCTAGCATATGCATGTGAGTCAGTCTCTATTCGCGAGGTTGTTGTTGTTCGTAAAAGTACACCTTGCTTTTACCTGAAAAAAATGATGTGGCACGGTTGGAGTATTTTGAAGAATACTCAGTAAATGGCTATGCTATTGTGGTTATGAAAATGCAAACACATGCCATCATAATTTATGGGACATATCTCTAACATCATCTAGAGATGGCCTCCAGTTTCGGACAAATTGAATGTGTAGTATTTTCCTGCACACAATCCACACGTGCGAGTGTGAATCCACATGGTACTCGCACACTCCTTGGACCCTCTGGTCAAGGTGATTTGTAGCGACATTCGGAGAATAGCGAAACCTCATAGTGTCATGACCTTATGAACATCCTACTCATTTATGCTCATTCGCACTCATCATCGTGAGTCTACACTCATCATCTCTAGGAGAAGTATCTCTATGCTTATGAACATATAATATGCATGAGATCCCTTTAACGTCCATCTTATCATCACTTCTGACACAACCGTCTAGTCTCATTTCTTTGTTACATTAAATAACACATACTCGTGGATATTTATATTAATATCATTTTCATGTTGTTAGGGTTGTGTGCTATATCGATCTAACAACATGATTCAATATGACACTCGTCATCATATAACATGATTAATATGAAAAATATCATCTTATTAAGATAAATGTCATGCAATCATCATACTCATCATTATTGTCATAAAGTGCATCAAACATATCAAGTACGTCATTCATCGTTATATATATATATACTACGCACATGATCAAACATCATAACTCATACATCATTATATACTAGTATACTGCATTATACGATACATCTCAAATATCATTATAATTCATACAATTTTTAGCTTATCCTATAATAAAATCACTGATCTGATTAGATTAAATTGTTGTCACTCACTTAAGTTCGATTTCAAATTAGAGAACTTCTATAAATTATTACTAATGGTCATGTATTTCATGCCAATGTATTAGATTACATGTCAACATTACAATTTAATAATTTCATTTTTTTTTTATTGTTACTAATTTATATTAAGGAAGTTATGGTTAAAAAAAATTGAGAGTTATTTTACGATAGACTCCTGTTATTTTTTTATTGTTTAATAGGGAAGATTTTTTTTTACGTTTTCTATTAAAAAACATTAATCAATTTTGAGTCTTATTGAGTAAATGGCTCTATTATCATTTTTTAAAATATTAATTTAAATATTAAATATGAGTTGTAATATTAAAATTTAATTTTTTAAAAATTATATATATACATCTATCTATATCTATATATTTTTTTTGTTTATGAAATATGTTAATTTATTTTAATAATTTTTAATTAAGATTATATTGAAAAATCAAACTTTTAAAATACTATCGATTTAAAAAAATAATAAATGACGAAAAAATTATCCAAAAACTATATTCAACATTACAAAAATAAATGGAAATGATATAAGGACGGGCCCGTCCCATTAACATCGGTTGAATTTATTTTGGATTAAGTTATAAAATTTTGAATATGTTAGATGGGTTGTAGAGTAATTTGAATAGTTTACTCAATCCAACCATCTATTTTTTTAAATTTAGTCGAGTAAGTTTTTAAAAATTGGTAATTATTTTTTTTATTATTTAAAAAAATTATATTTATCTATAATATATGTTATTAAATAAATTTCATAAAATTCAAACCTTAAATATTTTATCACAACATTAAATATCCTTAATTTTTTTTAAAAGTAAAGTTGGATTATATTGAGTTCTAACTATTTAAAAAAAAATATCAACCCAAATATAAACTAAATATTTTTAGTTTTTCGAAAGTTTAATTCAATTTTTTAAAAAAAAATCAAATTTATAGTTTAAATTATAGGATATTTAATTCTTTTAATTCTAAATTTATTTATAATTGTTCTAGAAAATAAATAATAGGGATGAATTGAAATTACATAGTTATATAATTTATAATTAATAAAAAAAATAATTCAAATTAAATAATAGAGATGAATTGAACTATATAGTTGTATAATTTATAATTAATAAAAAAAATTAATTCAAATTTATGGTTGAAATTAGATAGTCTACCTCTTATATGGAAATTTAGAGAGTATTTAATTTGTTAGATTCTAAATTTATTTATGATTTTTCTCACATACAAAAAAATAAAAATTGAATCGAGTAGTTCTATCATTTATAATTAATTTAAATTTATAATTGAAATTAGATATTCTACCTCTTATATGGAAAATTGGAGAGTATTTTATTTTTTTAATTCTAAATTTATTTATGATTTTTCTAAAATAAAAAATTAAATAATAGAGATGAATTTAACTACATACTTCTATAATTTATAATTAATAAAAAAAATTAATTCAAATTTATGGTTGAAATTAGATAGTCTAGATCTTATATGGAAATTTAGAGTATCTATTTTTTTTTAATTCTAAATTTATTTATGATTTTTCTCAAATAAAAAAATTAAATTGAACCACGTATTTAAGAAGTATTAAAATTTTTTAATTCTAAATTTATTTATTATTTTTTTCAAATAAAAAATTAAATAATTAAATAATAAAGATGAATTGAACCACGTAGTTCTATAATTTATAATTAAATAGTTAAACTTGAGTTTAAATTCTCATTAATTAATTCTATTATATTAAATTATAAATTTAGATTGACCTAAATTAATAAAATATTCATAAATTTTATATTTATTTAAAAAATATCATTAAATTTTAACTTTTAAAATATTCCGGAGTATTTTGTTTCAAAAACCATGTTTCAAAAATATATATAATTTTAAAATTTTCATTTATACTTTCCCATTTTTAAAACAAGGTTAAAAAAAATATACTATAAAAAAAATCATTTACCAATTTTAAAAGAGTTTATTTTAGTTTTTAGAAGGTGGCCATTAATAAATTTTAGTTTTTAGAGGATGGCTATTAATAAAATTTTAAATGGTCTAGTTTAAAGAGTATTTTTAAAAGAAATTATTGAAAGTATTTTTTTAATTTTTTAAATAAAAGTGATGGGTGTTATTGAAATTTAAAAATTTATTGTGAAAATTTAGGATATTTTTAAAATATGTACCATAGATATTTTTATTAATTTAGTTTTATACAATATTAGGTCAAAATAATTTTTATTGTAATAAAAAGTTAATAACTTAAAAGTATAATTTATTAGGTGATTTTAAAAATATAAAATAATTAAAAATAAATGTTAATACATACACAAAAAAATATTTCATAAAAATTAGATTAACTTAAAAAAAAATTAAAAATTGAAGAGAGATGAATTATTATTTTAAGTGATTTTTTCTAAAAAAAAATTGGGTATAAAGTTTGGTTTTCAAATTGGATATTTTATATTTAATAAGTTATAGAGTTTAAAATTAATAAAAAAAAATCTATAAATTTTAATATTATATTTAAAGGTTGATATAAAATTAAACTTTTTAAAATTTATCACAATTTAAAATCTAGAAAATATAGAATATAATAGTAAATTAATAATTTAAACTTTTTTTTTAATTATTAATTAAAATGGTAGTGTTTATAGTGTTTTAAATTGTATTATTGATTCATTAAATTAAGGTTATAACCTTCAATAATTTTTTTTTTTAAATTTATATGATATTCTAAGTTATATAGTTTATAATAATGGTAATGGTAAAAAAAAAAACCAAATAAACAAATAAAAAAATGACTTTTAAAATAATAATAATAAAAACAATAAATAAATAAATAAAAACAACACTTCTCCATAGTCATCACTAACTTCTCATCTCTTCCTTCAATTATCTCTAAAAACAAAGTAATTTGAAAAAAGAAACTAAAATGTTATTAGAGGGTTAATTTGTGTTGTTCTATCACTCACATCTATTATCACTCACATCTATAATGTTTATTTTTTCTTTTATATTTGTATTTTCCATAAAAGAAAAGATTTGAAGATTTGGATTAAAAATTGGACAATGTCAACTTAATTAAGAGATAAAAAAAGAATAACAAAATGTTAAAAAGAATAAAATAAAACATAATAGAATAAAAAACAGAGGGAGAGGAAAAAGATAGACAAACAAAGATATAAAAACAAAACGAATAGAATGAAAAAATAAGGAGCATAGAGGAAAAAAACACCGAACAGAACGAAGATCGAAAAAATATTAAATTGTTAATAACAAGTAAATATAATAACCACTTTCTCAAATATATTAAGAAATTATAGTATTTAATAAATTTATGGTCAGTAGTCACGATAACGTTAGACATATTTGTTTCCCAACAGAATTTTTTAAATACTTAACAAAATTTATGAATTAGAATGATCGAAAGAATTTGGTGAATATCTTTAATAGGGTGACACACATTGACATAAGTGGAAACGAATTCGAAGGATGAAAGGAAGTTAATTTGGAGTTAGATAGAACTTTGGCCAAGGTCATCAAAGTAAGTGGCCTTCCTATGGGCATTGTTATATTTGATGTTGACACGTGCCATGTGGTTCTATATGTGTCATATATGTTAATATGTGTGAATTTTTTATGAATCAATATGACTAAGATATGGCTGACATAGCGTTATGGTTAGGTTATGTATAGAAAAGAACATGATTATGATAGATTGATAGAACGATATGGTTATGATACGTTCTTGTAACGATATGACTAGGATAC